TCATTTCTGACCTTTTGTACACGGCAAGTTTATTCAACAGATAAGTGCATCACAAATAATTATGTCAGCGAAAGGTTCACAGCAAACACATTTTTTTATGATTTATGTAAGTAAGGTAAGGGTGACTTTGATTGTGGGATTTATACCACCCAAACAGCTGAAGTGACAGATGAAAAGAACGTATGTAATGGGGAAGATATATATGTTTCGGAAAGGGTAAACACAACGTCACGATCAGATTCAGGAGATTAATATTCAACTCGATTGTCATCCATAATAATTCCACCATGTTCGTCGCATAGATGATCGTAATAAGAATTCAACGCCTTATATAACATCACCGAATATAAAGCGGGACGTAAAAGGTGATAATACCATCTGAGCAATGTCTGCAACGTCGGTTACCTGTTGTATTCCGATATTACAGCGACGGGCACTGACACAACACGTCGGTTACCTGATGTATCCCGATACTACAGCGCCGGCCACTGTCACAACACGTCGGTTACCTGTTGTATCCCGATATTACAGTGTCGGCAACTGTTACGATACGCTAGTTACCTGTTGTACCTTGATACTACAGTGTCGGCTACTGTCACGATACGCTGGTTACTTGAGGCATCTTGATACTACAGTGTCGGCTGCTGTCACAATACGCTGGTTACTTGATGTATCCCGATATTACAGTGTCGGCAACTGTCACGATACTGTGGCGTACCGCGATACATTGTTAGCCATCGTTACACATACTTAATAAGTCCGCGCTACATTATTATTTCTCCGGCCAATGGATCAGTGTGCAGTCCCCGATTTTCATTCACAGCTCACAGGTCTCGATTTTCATTCACAGCTCTCAGTCCCCGATTTTCATTCACAGCTCTCAGCCCCCGATTTTCATTCACAGCTCTCAGCCCCCGATTTTCATTCACAGCTCTCAGTCCCCGATTTTCATTCAGAGCTCTCAGCCCCCGATTTTCATTCACAGCTCTCAGCCCCCGATTTTCAATCACAGCTCTCAGCCCCCGATTTTCATTCACAGCTCACGGGTCTCGATTTTCATTCACAGCTCTCAGCCCCCGATTTTCAATCACAGCTCTCAGCCCCCGATTTTCATTCACAGCTCACAGGTCTCGATTTTCATTCACAGCTCTCAGCCCCCGATTTTTATTCACAGCTCTCAGTCCCCGATTTTCATTCACAGCTCTCAGCCCCCGATTTTCATTCACAGCTCTCAGCCCCCGATTTTCATTCACAGCTCTCAGTCCCCGATTTTCATTCAGAGCTCTCAGCCCCCGATTTTCATTCACAGCTCTCAGCCCCCGATTTTCAATCACAGCTCTCAGCCCCCGATTTTCATTCACAGCTCACAGGTCTCGATTTTCATTCACAGCTCTCAGCCCCCGATTTTCAATCACAGCTCTCAGCCCCCGATTTTCATTTACAGCTCTCAGCACCCCGATTTTCATTTACAGCTCTCAGCCCCCGATTTTTATTCACAGCTCACAGGTCTCGATTTTCATTCACAGCTCTCAGCCCCCGATTTTTATTCACAGCTCTCAGTCCCCGATTTTCATTCACAGCTCTCAGCCCCCAATTTTCATTCACAGCTCTCTGCCCCCAATTTTCATTCACAGCTCACAGGTCTCGATTTTCATTCACAGCTCTCAGCCTCCGATTTTCATTCACAGCTCACAGCCCTCGATTTTCAATCACAGCTCTCTGCCCCCGATTTTCATTCACCGCTCACAGGTCTCGATTTTCATTCACAGCTCTCAGCCCCCGATTTTTATTCACAGCTCTCAGTCCCCGATTATCATTCACAGCTCTCAGCCCCCGATTTTCATTCACACCTCTCAGCCCCCGATTTTCATTCACAGCTCACAGGTCTCGATTTTCATTCACAGCTCTCAGCCCCCGATTTTCATTCACAGCTCACAGCCCTCGATTTTCAATCACAGCTCTCTGCCCCCGATTTTCATTCACAGCTCACAGGTCTCGATTTTCATTCACAGCTCACAGGTCTCGATTTTCATTCACAGCTCACAGCCCTCGATTTTCATTCACAGCTCTCAGCCCCCGATTCTCATTCACAGCTCACAGGTCTCGATTTTCATTCACCGCTCTCAGCCCTCGATTTTCATTCACAGCTCACAGGTCTCGATTTTCATTCACAGCTCTCAGCCCCCGATTTTTATTCACAGCTCACAGGTCTCGATTTTCATTCACAGCTCACAGGTCTCGATTTTCATTCACAGCTCACAGCCCTCGATTTTCATTCACAGCTCTCAGCCCCCGATTTTCATTCACAGCTCACAGGTCTCGATTTTCATTCACCGCTCTTAGCCCCCGATTTTTATTCAAAGCTGATCATCCGGACTGCTGAACAGTGGCATCTTTTGATCAAAGTTACTTGCCTAAGGAGATACCACATGTAACATGTGCTTCAGTGTGGGGCAGGACCGAAGCCCTAGAAGCTCTCAGGAATCAAGCTGCTGAACACGGCATAATAGATCATTTCAACGGGTTGTTTCAAAACGTATCTAACGAGCGAAAGCGAGTTAGATACGCTTTGTTACAATTAACGGGTTGTAAGATCAGTGGTATCTGACAGGCACGAGTGCAGTAACTGTTTCTTACACACCCTAAAAAACGCATCTTTTTAGCATCGAACCGATGCATTTTGTCTATTCTCATGATTGTGGCAGCACTGTCACCACTGTCATAAGTGACGTCATCCTATGTACTGCTCACTACTCATTAATAATGTGACCCTACCCCAAAAAAAGGTTTCCGCCATATCTGTGGATTATCAAGGCGATGATGATAATGCAAACTTGACAAAACCAAAGAACACGCTGGGTCCCGAGTTAACAGTTTACACCTCTAAGAAATTACCAAATATGTACAACAATGTTTACTTCCATATGACATCACTACCGGTGACCGACTTTTACAAAATGGCGTGTTCACTGACAACAGTACAGTAGGCGGGATTTTCAGAGGAGGTTTTTCGTTGATTGAGGGATCGTACATAAATGTGTCATGTAAGTAATCAGAAACAATCAGACAAGCTCCATACTGTTATTTGTTTTATGTTTTCCAGTGCAACCAAGAGATTTAGTCAGAAATAAAGCTAACTACCGTCGACGTTGTGCGTGATTTTTCGTCAGTCATGGCGTCACAGAAACTTTTACTATTTCTGTTGAATTTACCTGATCATTGTAATGTATATATTTGTAATTCCATAATTCGTGCTACGATACTTTTTCCATGAATATTCACAAACGTGCGAGCCAATGTGTGCAACAATTAGACGAATGAATCTCTCAAAATAGGAGAAAATACCTCACAGTGTAAAATCTGAATTAAAATCTGTACATTTCAACAAGTACAGTTCCGAGCACAGTGTTCGTTTCCACACATAATTTATTTCGCTTGATTTCATTTGGATAATTTGCATTGGTGACAAAGACCATTTGCCATTTGATTCTAAAATGTATGAGGAATTCAGTGATGCATGTATCGCAGCTGCGAATAGGCGTCTCATAACCAGCACACGTGAAACGTGATTTTGTGAACACAATCCCATATGGCGGAACGTACACTTCCGCGTTCGTGTTTACGTAGTTTCCAAAACAATCTAAACGATTTTAGGCTTATCGGCGAGGTTTCAGAATTATCATTAGTGATTTGATACCCGTGATCACTAATTTGGAAATTCAATTTTTCGAGTAAATATCCGATATTTAGATTTCTAAATACACAGTAAACATCGCCGTGAATGACAATTTAGCGAGATTTACCATGTACCTAAGTTTCAGAGGTCAACTTCAGTAATGTTGCTTTGCCCTAAACGACAGTGGATGATATCACAGAAGAGGGAATCCAAAACTTTGAAGTGCATTTGTGTGCGTGATGTATTTTGAATTTTATTCGACTTCGAAGTGAGGGTTGAAGAGGAGGGACATATATATGTTGCTGTAGCATCTAGGGGGTTGGTTTACACTTTAAAAAACATAACGTTCAATACAGACGCAGGTGAACATTCGACAGAAGCACGAGCATCTTATCAGTGACTTACAATAAGGAAAGTAGTCCGGGATCCGTCATAATCTGACCTCAGGTCATCACCATAGAGTAGCCAATCACGGGCCTGGAATTCGATCTCACACATGTTTGCTACCAGTTGTTATGAGCAAGACGTTATTGTTTTGTTGTATTTTAGAAATGTTACTTTTTCTTCCTAGTTGTCATTGTTGCATATCCAACAACGGCGGACAAACCCGATACTGAAGACTGAGGACGATGTCGTTGTTTCTGTGTGACTTCACGATGTGCTAACTCGAATGTTAGCAGAAGTAGTCGGACCGTCATCTGTGTGACTTCACGATGTGGTAACTCGAATGTTAGCAGGAGTAGTGTGACCGTCATATGTGTGACTTCACGATGTGCTAACTCGAATGTTAGCAGAAGTAGTCGGACCGTCATCTGTGTGACTTCACGATGTGGTAACTCGAATGTTAGCAGGAGTAGTGTGACCGTCATATGTGTGACTTCACGATGTGGTAACTCGAATGTTAGCAGGAGTAGTGTGACCGTCATCTGTGTGACTTCACGTTGTGGCAACTCGAATGTTAGCAGAAGTAGTCGGACCGTCATCTGTGTGACTTCACGATGTGCTAACTCGAATGTTAGCAGAAGTAGTCGGACCGTCATCTGTGTGACTTCACGTTGTGGCAACTCGAATGTTAGCAGAAGTAGTCGGACCGTCATCTGTGTGACTTCACGATGTGGTAACTCGAATGTCAGCAGGAGCAGTGTGACCGTCATCTGTGGGATTTTATACAGTGAATACTTTTGTGGTAGATGTGGTGTCGAGTACGTGTCATACACCTTCATGCAATCATTCAAAGAGTCAACTGTCATCATACCGGCTATATTCTGGGCAGGCTGACTTATTCTGAATTGCTATGTGAAAGCATAACACGAACTGTCACATGTTCATGCAGAGCAATCTTGAAAATGGTTATTCCCTCATACCATTATCAAATTTATTGAATAATAATGATGTCAATCTATGACTTAATACATCGGTAAAACACCCAAAGCAAAACTTCTCCTCACTTTAAAAACGGGTAAATTATTACAAAAACCATAATATCACGAGTAATAATGATAATGTTTTTCAGAAGTGTATTATCATGACATGTATTATCAAAACTATTTTAAAATGTTAAAGTTTCTAAAATGTCTAACGATTTGAGGGCAGACATTTGGCGCTGCACTGATTAGACATAGACAAAATATAAGAGATTTAGTTACATTTGATATTTCTGGCTGACAATTGCAACATTTGCACAGGTGTATCATAGGTAAACACGCGTACCTTAGCACATGTAATATCCGTTCCATCTATTGACTGGGGGTGCACACCATACTTGCCAAAATACAATATATTTAACTGTATTAGGAACAATAATTATTGAAAACATTCTTTATGAGTAAAGTATTCTAAAATGGCATACTACCGATGTGATATCTCATTTCAGATACAGGAAATACGTGAAATAACAAATGCATCTACTTTGTCGTAAATCATGTTAGCAATTGACAGCCATCGATTTTGAATATATGGGATGGAATGGAGTGTAAAGTTTTAGGGAAAATGGTCAAACTGTACATCAAATTCTGAAATCTGTTTCATGATTTTACATCTATAAAAACTCTTGACCAGCGATGATAAATGTGGCAGAGTCTAAAATATGTATCAAAATAACAGTATCAAAACCCTTTAGAATCAACACGGCTCTGTATACTTTGCTCTCTGGTTTGCTCTCTGTGACAGCGAGTGTGTGTGTGTGTGTGTGTCTGTCTGTCTTTCTGTGTGTCTGTCTTTCTGTGTGTCTGTCTTTCTGTGTGTCTGTCTTTCTGTGTGTACGAGTGTGGGCGTACGTGCGTGCGTGTATATATCTCTGTGTGTGCGTGTGTGCGTCAACATGCGTGTGTGTATGTACGTGCGTGTCTATCTGTGTGTCTGTCTATGAGTGCGCGTGTGCGTCTATCGGTCTGTATGTCTGTCTGTGTATGTCGCCGTCTGTGTGTGCGTGTACATGCGTGTTTGTCGGTCTCTATGTGTTGGCGTGTGTGTCTGTGCGTGTGTATGTCTGTGCGTGCGTGTGTGTCCATCTGCCTGTGTGTGTGTGTGTGTGTGTGTGTGTGTGTGTGTGTCTGTGTGTGTGTCTGTGTGTGTGTCTGTGTGTGTGTCTGTGTGTGTCTGTGCGTGTGTTTCATAAGGTTCATCTGTGGGGTTTTGTCTCAGAGGGATCATATAATAAACACTGCAGATGATCGTGGTGCTGTTGTGAGGCAATATATTGATATGGCCAGATTTACATCGAACACAATACAATGAATGCCTCACTCCCAAGAGATCTATTATTAAAACATAACATTACGTCCCATTTGGTACATGTGAGGTATACGGCATTTGTCATTTATATAAATATTCTTAATAGAAGACTATATCTCAATATCACAAAATAGCATGTCTGCAAACTAACACTGATTAACCTTTCAGAAGATAATCATCATTTGTCCCTGGTACAAAATATAGTGACAATATCAAGCATGTGTTATATAAACATAGAACATACTTGGGTCATGCAGACTTATATCCTAGTGAGGAATATTTACAGTATTAAGCAGGTGTTACACTGTAACATACTCTTCAATAATGCTTGGTTTTTATACAAGTGACGAATATCTACAGTATCAACCACATGTTATACAGCTGTAACAGTGACATTTATGCTTGGTTGGTATACAAGCGACGGATATTTACAGTATCAACCACATGTTACACAACTGTAACAGTCACATCACCCATGCTAGGTTTACATACCATTGACGAATATTTACAATATCAATTACGTCTAACACAACTGTAACAGACACATGTACACATCACCCATGCTAGGTTTACATACTGGTCACGAATATTTACAGTATCAACCACATGTTACACAACTGTAACAGTCACATCACCCATGCTAGGTTTACATACCATTGACGAATATTTACAATATCAACTACGTCTAACACAACTGTAACAGACACATGTACACATCACCCATGCTAGGTTTACATACTGGTCACGAATATTTACAGTATCAACCACATGTTACACAACTGTAACAGACACATGTACACACCACCAATGCTAGGTGTACATACCATTGACGAATATTTACAATATCAACTACGTGTTACACAACTGTAACAGACACATCACCCATGCAAGGGTTATATACCAGTGACTAATATTTACAATACAAACCACATCTAACACAACTATAACAGTCACATCACCCATGCTAGGTATACATACCATTGACGAATATTGACAGTATCAACTACGTGTTACACAACTGTAACAGTCACATCACCCATGCTAGGTTTACATACCATTGACGAATATTTACAATATCAACTACGTCTAACACAACTGTAACAGACACATGTACACATCACCCATGCTAGGTTTACATACTGGTCACGAATATTTACAGTATCAACCACATGTTACACAACTGTAACAGACACATGTACACATCACCAATGCTAGGTGTACATACCATTGACGAATATTTACAATATCAACTACGTGTTACACAACTGTAACAGACACATCACCCATGCAAGGGTTATATACCAGTGACTAATATTTACATTACAAACCACATCTAACACAACTATAACAGTCACATCACCCATGCTAGGTTTACATACCATTGACGAATATTGACAGTATCAACTACGTGTTACACAACTGTAACAGTCACATCACCCATGCTAGGTGTACATACCATTGACGAATATTGACAGTATCAACTACGTGTTACACAACTGTAACAGTCACATCACCCATGCAAGGGTTATATACCAGTGACTAATATTTACAATACAAACCACATCTAACACAACTATAACAGTCACATCACCCATGCTAGGTTTACATACCATTGACTAATATTTACAGTATCAACCACGTGTTACACAACTGTAACAGACATATCACCCATGCTTGGTTTACATACCATTGACGAATATTAACAGTATCAACCACGTGTTACATTATTCATACCAGGTTTATATACGTGACGAATATATAAGTGACGAATATTTACAGTTGCAAGCATGTGTTACACAACTGTAACATGACTTCAATAATGCTTGGTTTCATAGATTTATACACAAGTGCGAATATTTACAATATCAGTCATGCGTTACACAACTGTAACATGCACTTCAATAATGCTTGTTTTCCTAGATCTATATACAAGTGCCAATATTTACAATATCAAACATGTGTTACACAACTATAACATGCGCTTCAATAATGCTTGGTTCCCTTAATTTATATACAAGTACGAATATTTACAATATCAAGCGTTACACAATTGGAACATGCACTTCAATAATGCTTGTTTTCCTAGATCTATACACAAGTGCGAATATTTACAATATCAAACATGTGTTACACAACTATAACATGCGCTTCAATAATGCTTGGTTCCCTTAATTTATATACAAGTACGAATATTTACAACATGAAGCATGCGTTACACAACTGTAACATGCACTTAAATAATGCTTGGTTCCCTAGATCTATATACAAGTGCGAAAATTTACAATATCAGTCATGTGTTACACAACTGTAACATGCACTTCAATCAAGCTTGGTTCCCTAGATTTATATACTAGTACGAATATTTACAATATCAGTCATGTATTACACAACTGTAACATGCACTTCAATAATGCTTGGTTCCCTAGATTTACACACAAGTGCGAATATTTACAATATCAAGCATGCGTTTCACAACTGTAACATGCACTTCAATAATGCTTGGTTCCCTTGATCTATATGGACGTACGAATATTTACAATATCAAGCATGTGTTACACAACTGTAACATGCACTTCAATCAAGCTTGGTTCCCTAGATTTATATACAAGTACAAATATTTACAATATCAGTCATGTATTACACAACTGTAACATGCACTTCAATAATGCTTGGTTCCCTAGATTTACACACAAGTGCGAATATTTACAATATCAAGCATGCGTTTCACAACTGTTACATGCACTTCAATAATGCTTGGTTCCCTTGATCTATATGGACGTACGAATATTTACAATATCAAGCATGTGTTACACAACTGTAACATGCACTTCAATCAAGCTTGGTTTCTTCAATCTATATACAAGTACGAATATTTACAATATCAATCATGTGTTACACAACTGTAACATGCACTTCAATAATGCTATGTTTATACACATTGTTCATGCTGGGCTTACTTATATTCTTTCCCGCCGTGATATTGCTGGGATATTGCTAAAAGCGGCGTAAAACTACTCTCACTCACTCACTCACTTATATTCCTTATTCTTGTTGTACTTGTTATATTACATTACCCAATTATTTAAAGAAATATATTATAAAAACAAAACTGTACAAACTCCAAAAATGGAAAACGCACTCAAACTCTGATATAATCACACATATTTATCACAGGTACAAATACAGTGTAGGTGTATTCATTGTCTTGTGTTATCGCAGGACTTCAGCTAGTCTGTCTTACAGACCCTGATACAAATATATATCAAATACAGCCCATGCAAGTCTATAATGTTTGGCAAGTCTAGATCACTGCAGTATCTGAAAATGAAGAGAGTCACTGGGCTCCTTTTTATTATATTTATATTAAGATAACTGAACAACTGGTTTTTTTATGTACGATATGTTCATTTCAGAGACTAGATTTTAGTCTAGACTTCAGCTGGCGGGTCATGTCAATATCATCACATCGGGTGGTGGTGTAAGGGACGTAACTCGGTATTCTTTGCTGCACATGCTACCTATCATGGTGTAGTCTGTGACGCCTTCCAAGTAAATGAAATAATAGATATGAATTATCCCACTTTATCCAACGCTTCAGCTGCGAGGTAACCTTATTGTCTGGAGGTTAAACTCTTTTTCTGTGTTTTGTCTTGTGGTGATTCGACATGAAGTATTTCCATACCACCCTTGTTCTCTCTCGTCACATATTAGTCTTCATTGATCTCGTCTTCGTCATAGGTGGAAGTGTGTGCCAGATATTTCTTCTCCACCTCCTCCAGGTAGTCATTGATGGCGTGTACAAACGGGTCATCGGACAACTCCGTGTTGTTGATCCTAGAAGAAGAAATACCACATACCCATGACAAAGAAGCTATTCCTTTATAGTTGTACCTTCCAAGAGCACCTTGCAACTTACTTATGGGTGACTGGCGATGAACTTTGTTATATTTCATTAAAAACCTTTTCTTCGTGATTGTGGCATTATGTAAATGTCACCAAGTTTCTTGTAATCAATACACTAATGGCATCTATACTTTGAAGAATTGGAGTAATTACGAAATGCTTTAGATGAAGCTTCCAATGATTTGAAAATAACATAATGGTTGACGTTCTGTATGTCCATTCCTAAGAGATAGGGTGGCATATTGGCTAAAGACGTTCAATTCCCTACATGGACACAATATGCGTATTGTTTGATGTTCCCCGCTGTGATACTGCTGGTAGAGCTCCAGTATAAGGCTGCGTAAAATCACGAACCCACTCCCTGACCTACCATTCTCTAGCTGTCCTGAGCATCCAGTTCCTTGGAAGGGCCAGATCGAAAGACGTCAGACCCTCGGTCAGTGCCTTGAAAGCCTCGCCCCGAGAACTCTGCTTATCTCGACAAGTTTGTAGAACCTGGGCAAAATAGCAGGACATTACAGCTGAATAAAAATATGAAACTTTCACTCTACAGAAGAATCGAATGTTGTATTTGCCTCAGCAGTAGATTAAGTGTTGGAGTAAAATTAAGAAATACGAACAACAAATGATTGTCCATTCAAAAACTGACAGTGCGACAAAGGGTTATGTTAAATCGTTTTTGCGCTGACTCCAACATGGACACATACTGAGTATTTGCTTACCTTGATCATCTTGGCCTGGTCAGTAGGAACAAGTGGATCAGCAAGGATAGTGTCTAGCTCCGGTCTAGACACGTCTACATCGCCAGCCAGGTCTAGCACGACCCCCGTCTCATCCACCAGTGCCTGCAGGAAGGCATCAGACATCGGCTCAAGGAGACCTGAAGCATCCAACCCAGCACAGTTATCTATGTTCTGACATCAGATATTTGTGCTGTTAACATTGAAAAAGGCATTCCTACATTATTTTATAACAGACATAGTAATGTGAGAATGACAAACTAAACAACACATCTTAGTTTAATTTCACATTTTACAGGCCTATTTGTAAATGTGGTGTTCATGAAAAAATTCATTTTGTTATTTCGGTGTAGCAAAATATATTCACTTTGTTAAATTTCATAGATCTTTCAAAATATTTGAATTAGAAATATAAATAAGTCTAGTAATCTGGCCGTTGAACCATAATCAACAATATCAGGCAATCAATTATAATGTATGGGTACACTACCTTCTGCACATATCATGGTAATGAAGACTATAAGTTGTCCACAGATGTGATATATATTTTTGTTCATTTTTATACAGATTAAAATAAATAATGAAGTATGACACAAAGGATTGACGAACTCGTTTAAGAAAAAGGTAGAGAAAATATTTCATTCAACTATATTTGGGAGAGTTTTACCTGAAGTTTGTGATTCCTTGGCAGTCAATGCATTCTCCAGCCAGGAGTAGAATTTATCCTGTCGCTCCTTCTTCTCATCCAGCCTGTCACACATCAAGAATAAAGTAAAATACTTATATACCAATACCATAGAAAAGCAATAACCTTGTACATGGCAGCACATTCGGCTGTAATGTGCCTTTTATTAAAACAGTGTTGGGAAACATTGTTCCTTCAACACGTCTTTCTGTTGCTCCATGTGGGGTTATCATGGGAACAGTTACTTACCATTTCTTGAGCTCCGCGATGACAATTGCCACTAGGTCTCTCCTCCCAGATTTCTGTAAGGCTATCAGCAACTCGGGGACGCCATGGTCGGACCGATGAAGGCGGAGATCACGCCATCGTGTCAACATCTGAAATTGGTAGATAATGAATGTATAGACATGTATATAGTTGCTTGATTACTATTTACAGTGTCTTTGTCAAGCACGTGACAGAGATAAGGTCTTTACTTCATTCACTGACGAAGACTTGACGAAGACTTGACGAAGACTTAATGGGAATTGATTGATTTGCCAACGCCCTAGCAAACAGAAATGCACAAAATGTACACATTTTGTGGTGCACGATTTAAGTATCCAGCTTGATCCCCATGATAGATATTGTTATCAGTTGTGCAATAAAGTGAAACATGAAGAGATATGAATCATTTGCACATAATGTATTGACGCAAACAGTTATATATACCGGTCTTAAAGACATTAGTTGACGCAACAATGACAATGTTTCTTGCCTTATCACAATACATATCGTCACTACTACGAATTGGCACAACATATGTATATAAACTAGACAGCTGATATTTCTCATATTAATAAACCCCAAATAATCAACCCGGCCGTATGTGTATCATCACTTACTTTCAGTCGCTGGTCCATGTCCTCCAGGTCTTCCTGAATCTGCAGCTTGTCGATGGACGCTCCAGTGAAGCCCAGGAGTATCCCCAGCCTCATCCATTCTGATCCAAGTCTGCTGGCCAGATCCTGAAGGAGGTGTCTGTCTGTGAAACCTGAAAGACAAATAAATATGTCTAAACAAAAGAACAAGAGTTAAATGAAGATTTAATACTTCAAAATCTGGACTTGTCTGTGAAATTAGGTCAGTTTGGTAATTTTACTACACATTATACCACCTCTTTCCCAGATGCTCTCTGTTATATGTGCGCTAGACACGACTAAATTTTAGCCTTTCTCAAAAAAAATTATTAAAAAAGCAAACTCAATGAAAAGAAAAAAATGTTCGACAACAATCCTCTGAAGATTGCCAAATAAGTTAAATATGAAAATAGTACCTGCAAACGCTAAGGCCTCTTCTGTCGTGGTTTCATTTTTTTTTGTATGTGTCTCGCCATTTTTCTTGTTGGCCTTCGTTCTGTCAAAATCAGCCAGGTACACCAGAATCTTGGCCAGAGAGTCGTAGGTGGGATTCTGGGCAAACTCTTTCTCAAGCCTCTTCTTTTCCCCTATGTCAACCCAGCCAACTTTATCCCTGGTTTCATCCTTCGCACAGATTGGGAATGTCAAGTAGTTGTCCCTTTTCGGGTGATACTGTAGCTTTGTGATCACGCTGTTGATCTTCTGGCTGTTGCCGCCGATGTCAAAGAGGAACTCCTGTTTAGGGAAGGAGATGAATTCGGTGGTGAAGCTGGGTTTCTGGTCCTTGTAGCCTTCCATCTTCCAGTGCTGGAGCCTGGTGTGAAGCCGTGTGTTCCTGGTGCACTCTACAACAGCTTCACAGTTGGAGTCTTGCATGGGCCGGAGCATGGCCATAAACACAACGCTGCACTCACGGCGCTTTGCTTTCTCAAGAAGCTTAGCATTAGTGCGGATGATGTCTTTTTCCGTGACCTTTGCATCTTCCATTGGTTGTTTGTACTCAATAAGATTAAGACTGCATGACAAGAAAATAATTAAGGTTAAAATATTGAATTCTTAAACCCAGTATCATTACTGACAAGGGCCCTGTTTCAGGAGTAATTGATGAGGTAAGCATGATTAATGTAAATATAAAACGTCATCGCAAGAGAATAACCGATTTCGATTATCCGACGAAACAGATGCCTTTGGGCTTTAAGGCCAAAACATTATGTGAATGGATAACTAAAAATCAGTTAAGACACCAGGTGTTCGCGCAAAAGGGTAAACATGCCCTGCTCTATCGGTAGCACCCGCCACTTACACAGTTTGCATGAAAAAGTATGTGCTTGTTGCCTGACCAACACATCTACTTCATATAACCTATAGTACCGCATAACCCTTATCATTATACAAAGCCTGGTTCAAGACAAAGGAGAATATGGACTCAACATGTGCCTACATGAACAGTAATAATGTCATTTACAATCTGTAAAGGTAATGCAGCATTTCTACTCAGCATACTATAAAACATGCTAGGTATCTACACATCTTAAAGATGTTATTGAACTTACTCAGAGAAATGGGGAACTTTAACTGTAATTAGTCCGCCGTTTATTACTGGATTCTTTTCCAGTATCTCCCAACAGTCCTCCTCCTGTTTATGATCCACTTCGTCATGACGAAGCATGACGTACAGATCGCCGTCACCGAAGTAGTCCTGTGGTGTGGGCATGGTGATGAGGACGTCACGCTTGGGTTGTTCCCCCTTGGAATGGTTGACGTCATAGAAGTGGGACAGGGACAACACGGGAGAGAACTCGTCCTCGTCGAAGGCAGGTTTGGGGATGACCTGTGGCGAAATCTCAACGAGTCTTAATCTTTCATAATCATGTTGGGTTTTTATTTAAGAATTTTGTTCATTAATATATGTTATCATGTTTATGTCGTTTACCGAAAATGGAACTCCAAGTTGCACTTGTGTCTTAATAGGCCTATTTTGTATGCTTTAGCTATTTAAAGAATGTTTACAAAAATAACACATCAGTGTCTCATGGTCCACATAAAGCACTAATTACGACCCTGACTGGAAATAGACACCAGGCACCATGTGCACAAAAAGAACAACGGCAACACACATACTTTAACATAGACTTACAATAGATGTGACGCTGCGATCCATTTGTGCCAGTGGTTTCTGACTAAGTATCCTTATATCATGATATCATGTAAATAATCGCAAGCCAGTGACCGTAAGGTCTTCAGCAACCCATGCTTGCCGAAAAAGGCGACTAACGGGATCGGGTGGTCAGGCTCGCTGACTTGGTTGATGCTTGCCATAGTATCCCAATTGCGTGGATCGATGCTCATGACATCAATCACTGGATTGTCTGGCCCAGACTCGATTATTTTTAGACCGCCGTCACATAGCTGGAATATTGCCGAGTGCGGCGTTAAACAACAAACAAACAAACAAACAAACAACAAGCAAGAGCAACGATCCATTCCATCGGGTAAGATGACACGCAGTCGGCCACTTTTGTCTAAGGGATTCTTTCTATAACCTCCAGTGATCAACTGATTAAGAGCAGCATACATGAACTACCATAAACAACACTTGAATGTATAATTATATTTTATGTTATTTTAGAGCTTCTCAATACCTCAAGAGTGAGTGTTCCCGACTTGACGAAGGTCTCCTTGAGGATCTTGATCTCCACCATGTTGTCCACAGAGGAGGTGAAAACGCCCCCTGCTGGCGTGATCGGGAACTTTTCTACCTTGGGCAGAGTGACGAGGAGAAAAGCGTTGATGTTGGAGATGTTCATCTTCACGTAGCAGAACCACTGTTTCTGTGAAGATGAGCAAACATTTATATGCAGTTAACTGAAAATATTACAAACTATATAAAAAAAACAGTGCCTGTTAAAATAGCGTTATACATGTAGATGCTCGTGGCTAACTCAATCCAAAGGTCATTGTCAATTTAATACACATGTATGTGAATAATGGCATGTTTTTATATGAAGATTGGATGTTGGTAAAGGCGCCAATCAACAAGATCCAAGCTATATTACTGTGGCCTGTACATGATAGAGTCTAAACCACACAACATTTGTGCAATCCTGACACTGTAGTAATGTTATCCTAGAGTATATATATAGATTGTATATTGTTTTAATATTGAGTTTTTGAAAGCTATTTCCGGTATTCGATAAGATTATCCTGTACATACCGTGTCCTCCTCGTACCGTATGTCCCTCAATAAACCGCTGTACACACCCCGGTCTGTTTTCATGTACACTTCCTCAAACAGGTCAGGTTTGGCATATACGGGTATCTTCAGTGTCACATGACCTTCAGGTCGCGTGCCAGACAAGCGGTACTCAAACACGTCACTCATTAGCAGCTCTTTGTCTGCCGGGACCAATGAGCTGCGACTGTACTCGGGTCGGACACGCCTACCGATGAAGTTGACAGACCCGGTGCCTATGGAGAGCGGTGTTTTTATGGTGAGATCCAGCTTCTTAAGATGATAGGTGGAGTCAGCTTCCAGTGTTGTGTGCTCTATAAACACATAACTGAAATAAAAAAAAATATGTCGACTCGATAATATTGTAAGTAACTTGACTTAACTTGTTAACATCTTGAGGAAGTCGGTGCAGTGTGGTTACAGCGTTTGCTCGTCACGCCGAAAGCCCGGGTTTGATTCGCGACATTGTTGTAGTATAGGCAAAAGCGGAGTAAACACTCACTCACTCACTCACTCACTCACTCACCGACCCACCCACCCACCCACTCACTCACTCACTCACTCACTGATGAAAATCGTTGATGTGATTTTATATGCGAATGCAATATTATTAAAGTGAAGGAATCCTTCGTAAAATATCTTAAAATAATACTTGCGTTCTGTCGCATTTACAATTTTCAAGAAGTGCAACCAAAGATGTCAAACAGTCCTTAACCATGTGTATTTTTAACATAATAATCAAATAAATGTGTATGTTTTATAAGTTTTAGCGAACGCTTATGATAGCTCTTGTTACAAAACGGAATAAAAAAACTATTTCATGACTTACCCGTTCTTGATTCCAAACACTGTCTGCCTCGACTCCTGCATGAGACGCAGCATGTCCTGCCGCTTACACGTGTAGGACGGGGTGTTGCCAATCTGGAAGTCACGTCACGTGTACGTTGTATGTTATCTCTGTACATTTGTAGTTGTATTGTTCACCTATTATGTTGATCCTTTGTTCATAGTGGTGATAAAACTGGATCATAGCTATGTTTTGTTTGTTTGTTGTTTAACGCCGCACTATGCCAGCTATATGACGGCGGTCTGCAAATAATCGAGTCTGGACCAGCAATTCAGTGATTGATATCATGAGCACCGATACACACATTTGGGATATGATACATGCTTTTAGTCTCTGTTATATAGCTGAAATACTCTTCAGTGGCGGTAAATCCAACATATTCATACTTTGTTCCCCTAGTGTTATTGGTTTACCTTGTCCTTGATGGTGACATCGGCTCCACAGAAGACTAGGATGTCCACTGCCTCCACCTGCTTCTTGTTGACAGCGTAATGGAGAGGAGTGCGGCCATTCTAAATCACAGTTACATATTCATCATTTATTCTTGCACAGGAATCGAGGCATTATAATTTTTTATCAAATAATCCATACTGTCATACGTTCATGTGCCATTGATTAGCTCTTTCTATGCACATAATAAGCATATGTATGTATGCGTGCACGGTATATATGAATATGCACATTTACATACTGGTATATCTGAGATTTTGTTTATTTGCTTTGTTTGTTGTTTAACGCCGAACTCAGCAATATTTCAGCCATGTGACGGTGGTTTGTAAATAATCGATTCTGGTCCAGACAATGCAGTGATTGACATTACGAGCATCGATCTACGCAATTGCAATATGATGACATGTATCAACTAACATAGCCAGCCTCATCACCCGATTCCGTCAGTCGCATCTTGCGACAGTCATGGGTTGCTAAAGAGCAATTCTAACCCTGAATCTTCTCGGGGTCTGTTTATATTAATCACATAAGGGAATCGATGATCTAGGACAATATATTACACTTGTGCTCATGGAATATACAATTCAACCTGTACACAGGAGCAGTAGACCATAACAAATATCAAAGATTGTTTTAACACACAAAAGAGATCGATTGGAATCGATATACTAAATTGATTATATATATTACAGCTGATTAAAAAATGTAATCGCGAGCATTCTTTATCAATGCATCGTAAGGACGATTTTCATTTGATATTTCACCGACTAGATATTGACAAGGAGACGTTAATACTGTACCTTGTCTCTAGCATTGACTTTAATACCATATGTCAGCAACAGCTTTATGCTCTCTACATCTCCGTGAGCTGACTCTATATGCAGCGGTGTGCGTCCACCCTGGAATAAAGCTTTTTTCAGCATCCATTCTATGTTGTATTTTGTTTTACATGTTTCAATAGTGTTTTAGAAGTCTTAGAAATCAATAATGTTCATGCTATCTTAAAGTACAAAAGGTTTTCAAGTTACTTTGTCAATAGGTAATATAAAACGTATACCCCAGAGAATAACCAGTCTCTATTATCCGATTCTGTTGAGCATAAAAGGCGAAATAGATATGCATGGATTACTCATAATCCGGATCTGTTCGTGTGTAAGCCTATATGAGTTTAAGCGCGAGTAAGTTGGGCTTTACACCGACTGTAGCAATCTTCCAGCAATATCACGGTGGGTGACACCAACAATGAGCTTCACACATTGTACTTACGTGGGGAATGGATTCCGGGACTTCGGTGTGACGAGAGGACGCTTTAACCACTTGGCTACCACTCGCCCCATGAATGTGAGCAAAATAGCAAATACCCCCTACCTTTCGACTTTATTAGAGCATGGCAAAATGTCTCACCTTGTCAGTTTTCGAGACATCAGCCCCATGAGAGAGCAGCAAATTTTGGACCACATAGTTCCTCAACTCAGCAGCTCGAAGCAAAGGTGTGCAACCATCCTGGAATTGAAATGTGATGACATGTCATGAGTGTTAATTGTACCAAGGTTTGTATACTGAACCAAATTAAAAACTTCACAATCCTAAAATTTTAACATTTTGACCAGTTATCATTGTGGGCCCTTATTGTGTATTTAAACAGTAATGGCCACGTATTGTCTTCAGTTAACACCCGTTTTTGTGCAGGTGAATCGATCAAAATCATGTGCACAGCAGTAAAGTGGCAAAAGTGTTTTTTACACGTCCAACTGGTCACTTGGCCATAATACCGCATGTGTTTTCAGCATACTTGTTAGCAGTCATTAACAAAAAAAGAAAAACACAAGAAAACAAAAGTCTTTACGGCCATTTGTCATGACACGCCTTTCAAATGTGCAACGTGAACATGCAATCGGCATGTTGCAGACGGGAACGTCCGTAGCTGAAGTAGCAAGGACGATGGGTTGTAGTCGACGGACTGTTTATGATTTACAGACGCGTCTACAGCAAACGGGTACCACAGCTGATCGCCCTCGGCCAGGTCGACCACGTGTGACGTCACATGCAGAGGATCGTCAGATTGTCTTACGTCACCCCCGTAACCGATTTTTGACGGCTACATCAACCAGAAATGAACTGTTGAGGGGTAGACTGAGTGCGCAAACTGTTCGAAACCGTCTAAGAACTGCTCACCTTTAAGCAGGACGGCCATACTGCGGGCCGATTCTGACTCAAGTACACAGACGTCAACGTCAAATGTGGGCACATCGACACTTACGATGGACTCAGAAGAATTGGAATCAAGTCGTCTTCAGTGATGAATCCCGATTTAATCTTCGATTTGTTGATGGTAGGGCGAGGGTGTGGAGGCGCCGTCATGAACGTTACGCCCAGTGTTGTGTACAGGAAGTTGTCAGATTTCGAGGTGGAAGTGTCATGGTGTGGGGTGCTTTCTGTGGCAATGCACGTTCCAGGCTTCCAGGCACGTTCGTTCGACGCTGCTGCTTACCGCGACCAGGTACTGGCACCAGAACTTCTGCCTTTTATGGCAGCACATAGACCCGGTTTGATCTTTCAACACGACAATGCCAGACCCCACACAGCAATTTTGACAAGGAATTTCCTTCAGATTGCGAGAGTCAACGTCATGGACTGGCCGTCAAGGTCTCCCGACCTCAATCCCATCGAACACGTCTGGGACGCTCTTGGCAGACGTATGCGCACTCTCCAGAACCAACCACAGAATTTGCAAGATCTTGGCACCATTTTGCAGCAACAATGGCGTCGTCTTCCCAAACATGTGTTCACAAGTATCACAAGGTCCATGCGGAGGCGTTGTGTGGCAGTTGTCAACGCACATGGTGGCCATACACGCTACTGAACTTGTGTGCCATCAGATTTTCGTGCTTGGGACTTATGATTTAAACAGTTGATGTTATTACCGAATACCGTGCTAGGTGCTTGGAACAAATTATGGTTACCACCGTTAATTAAAATCCTTCTTTGGACATTAATGATTAAAAATTACCTTCTCTGATACATTTGTTCGTTGTATATCATATATGGGATAACTTTTAAAAATGTGAAGTTTTTAATTTGACTCAGATTATATGATGTTGACATTTCGAAAAAATAAATGTGTAATCCCTTTCAATATATACATACCGCGTTTTTCGCATTGATATTAGCTCCAATATCGAGAACATTTTCAATATTTCCTGTGTGTCCAATCTCTACAAAGTCAAACAGCCGGTCTGTAGCTTTCTGGATAGCTAGCCTGCAAAAAGAAGAAAGTTAACGGAAATGGTATGGTTTTACTCACAATACAGATTGCTTTTTTTGCGATTGATAATAAGTAACAGTAACTGTAAATACCTGCTGGTTGCTGTGGGGCGTCGTAGTCTGTCTACTTTGGGCAGTTCCTTCTTCACCTTAGGTGGAGAGCTGATAGTCATCACGGAGTGGTTGTCTGGAAACAGGTCCTCTGTTAAAATCATTGGCAGATAGCTACTCCCATGATTTGACAACCTAGATCGGTCATAGCGGTTCGAGGTACTTCCTTTAAGAGCAGCAAGGAGGTCATCTTCAACCTCAGACTGTGAAGCAATATTGCCATCATCCTTTAACACAGAGAACCTCAGGTTGCCATTCTCAAATGTTGCCACGGATCCATCCCTTGATGACTCCTTTACTTCCAGTGACACCAGTTCAGAGAGCAATCGTTGCTTGGCATCTGCATCGGTCTCTGCAACTGTTTTCAAAGCAGCCGAGAAGTTGACCCTTGACTGTACCGCCGCAGAAAGAATGGATTCCTTGTCTTTTCTTCCATGGAACTTAAATACGGTCACGGCATGAGCCAGCATATCCATTCCTAATGTTCTAGAGAGAGCCTCAGATATGAAGAAAGGAGTTTGGAACTCGAATGTACGACACACTGCAGAAATCAAGATATCAGTTATTGTTCTGAGCTCTGAGTCAGTATCAAGAATATTTGGTTTGAAATTTATATACAGATCTCTCTCTGAGAGAAGATGTATGTCCGCAGTTTCAGTGTGTGTAGTGCCTTTCACTGTTTCAATAGAGTCTTCATCTTTCACAGAATGTTTGAATCCGATACGAATGTGTCCAATATCAGCAATTGTTGACAATATGGCGTCCTTGTTTTTGTCATGTCCTTTTGGAAGGTCAGCTATTTCTTCAAGTGTCTTCTGCATTATATAACCCACAACCTGAAGACTTGAGTCACTTTCAAAGTCTCCAGTATCGATCACAACATTTGTTCCGAGTTTGCTTCCAATGTCCCATACATCGTACACAGCAGATATGCTCTTAAAACTGCTCTTCACCATTAATTGTAAGGAGTTCATGTGTGGACACATATTTTGTTTCTCGTAGAAGTAACCTTGTCGGCAAATCACATCTTCACAGGTAATGCCCAGTACTCCTGCAGCAACAGGATGTAGTTTATCTGTGCCGTCATTTGGTTTGATGTTTACTGTGTGAGGGATTTCCAAAAGCAAACGCTTAACAGCAGGTTTATCACAAAGAAACATCAGGTTCTTATTAATGCTTATAAGTTGCACTCTTTGAATCTGATGATCATCATCTTTCATGAAATGATTGAATGATATGTGTTGCCAGATGCCGCAAACTTCTGCTTTATTCATTTCTTGAATCTCAGATAATTTCCTTATTTTGAACATCTTTGTTTTCTTTGTGTCAGCTTGCTTCAGTCGTACCAACAGCACCTTTGACATCCTGATGTCCTTCAGTTCATTGTGTGTCACCCATGTCCAGGCACCAGCAGGTATGTTGAAATCACCAAGGTATCTACATCCGCGTGCACCCTGTAAGATGCTCAGGAGCATGTGGGTGAAGGCATACCATGTACCAAATGCCAACCAATCATAGTATCTACCAATCAGATGTAGAGGATGAGTCATTTCTCGAATGTCATTTGTGTGTATGATCTTTAGCCAGTCAGAGTCGACAGGAGACACTGTAACAATGATGCCAAGTTGCTCCTGGAGATTCATTGTAGCTTTAGCAAGTTTTTCAGAGCTTGTCAAGGCTTGCACTTGTGCTGACTTGGGCCAAGTAACGTCCTTAATGTTGTGAGGATATTCAAACTTGAAGGGTACAACATGGTCAAGAATCTGTTTTTCTTCCAATGAATAGAAGAACTTGGAATAGTCCATGTCTTCAGTCATCCACATTCCCGTGTCAGTCTTTGTAACCCTCAAGCTAACCACAAGAGTTTTCTTCTTGAACCAAATTCCAGACCTGTCCTTCATTCGTGTTACCCTTAAGCATACATCATCAATATCAAAATGAAGCCACAGCATGAAAGCATAGAGTTGAGCTATCTTCTGAAGTTCCTGAACAGCATATCCCCTGATGAATCCAAGGATTCTCCCAACCATGCCAATGCTTTCAAACGATTCCCATTCTATTGTCGCATCAACCTTTGGCTTCTTACGGTTTTGGCTAATCTGCATGGTAGGATTAGAGTAATCTTGTTTGCTGGTCAATATCCTGAATCCATGCAAGAGACAGTTGTAACCTGCTCTGCAAGTAGTCAGTAGTTTTAATAAAATGAAATGATCCGAATTGTATCGAAGGGAGCCATCTTTCACTGAAAAGTACCACAGCATTGATGATTCATTGGATGTAATAGACTCTGCTTTCAAAATAGGTAGATTTGTCACATACTTGACTGTAATTTCTTTCAAATTAGAGTAAAGTTGTACTGTAGAACTGACAGCTTTTCTACCACAAAGGGATTTTATATCTCTCAACAATGAACCACAACGAAGTATAACACTTTGAAGTCCACCAAGTTTGTTGCAGGCAGCATCTCCTGATAACATTCCCATGACAAGTGAATGAATCCCCATATCCCTGGACGCCATGACTGAATCCCAGTCAACACTGACCGTCACAGCAAGACCACTCAGTTCTCGTTTCACCTGAAAGAATACAAATAACATAAATGCAACAAAAGATAACCATGATACATAAGTTCAAATTGTGATGAATTATTTTTTACATTCACTTCAATGAGTTATATTCACATATCGTCCATTAGCGCAATAACTGTGATGTACAATATGTTATTTCTATTCACCACACATGAAAGAAAAATATGTTTTCCTCCTTTTATACAATCTATGAATCAATACTTAAAAGCTTCACATAGAGCTAAAATATAAATTGTCAATGGAAGATAATGACCAGTTTAGATTATCCACCGAAACAGAGTACATACGTACATGTCCTTGATCTATGGACAGTGCTTCAGCTAAAAGTAAGATTAATAAAAGATTATGTTGACTTACTAGATTCTCCATTTCCTTTGTGACTGTCTCATCAATATGCTCACGGGTACCAGCTTCCTTTGTGATTTCAGTTGGCATCTCTCCCGTAAAAACATACACTTCAGCATCCTCAACAGAAATTTGGATTTTATCTTGAAGATGAGATCCAGAAAGTAATACTTGAGCACTGCCAATGGAACCCTTCTGGATACATGATACACTGATTCTTGATACTGCTTTCCAAGCATGACTATTTGTATCTATGTAAGTTGAGTACCTTCCAAGAACAAGCTTTGACATGGCTAGACCACGAGTTTGCACTTTTGAATAACCTGGAAGAATCTTTTCAAAGCTCATCAAATCTACATGTAGTTCTTTTCCAAAGAAGTGTGTTGGTATCATTGCTTCAGGGTCAGCCTGCTTTTCAATAATCATTTTGTTGTCTTGATCTTTGGATTTGGTCAGCAATACGTCAGCAAATGACATGCGGGAATCGGAATTGTCCATGTCAGTTTGCCATCCATAATCACCTGGATGTGAAAACCCAATTCTCCATTGTATGGACACAGGTAATGCTCCTTGGATAGTTTGTAGCACTGGGTACATCTCTGTAGCCCCACTGTTCTTGATAGTAGATACTATTTCTGTATTCCCGTATGCCAAAGCAACTTCCAATGGTGAAGCCATTTCCCCTGTGACTAAGTCAGTAAATGACCTTTTCTCCAAAACGGTCTTGAAGAATTTGTTTTTCTTTGTTTGTGCAGCATAACAGCAGAGTTCAGCGATGTTTTCTTGTCCATGTGATGTGTTTTGGAAGTAGAAACACGCTGCCTCTTCTAAATTTGATTTTAGCGCCCATTGGAGAACATCTTTTTCTTTATTCAACAAAAACAATTGTGTGTTTATAATATCAGCTTCATATCCCATTGTTGCCAGTGCACTGAACATAGCACCATTAGAATGGGTTATTCTAGACCATGTGTTAAGTGTGTCGAGGGGATGTGTGAATCGCTTCTTTCCAAACTTCAGATGAACATCCAGACAGAAACCTACTCTCGATGGCTTTCTAGCAAGAATGTTTCTCTTTGGAACCATTGGTGTTTTCATGTATCCATTCTGGAACATCTTAGACCAACCAATTGCTGAATCCATCAGACAGAGCACACAAGCATAATCCGCCACTTGGTGAGATGCATGAGAACTTTCTTCAAATGTTATACCCTTGCAAAGATATTGCAACAAGTGATGATTGCCATAGGCAACAGCCGTGGCAACAGGAATCAAGTTCGATTTATCCCTGGCAGTAAACGCTACCTCAGGGGCTCTGACTGTGACCGTTTCAGTGATTGAAGGAATACCAATACGGGCAGCTAAATGAAGAACATTTTCTTGCAAAGGAGATTTCCAATTGTACAAGTTGGTCTCTTCCATTAAAAGTTCAACACATGAAACATGCTTTTTTTCCATGGCCAAAACCAAAGGTGGTGTCTCTACATCATGTAACCACTCCACTAGTCTATCTGGATCATGTGCTTTTGTGAGGGTGAGAAGGAATTTTAGAGAGTTCTTACAACCATAAAGTGCACAGAGATGAAACAGTGTAGGTGCTTGCTTTGAATCTATCATCTCCTGAATAAGTCTTTCTTGTAAAGTCTCCATGATTGCTAATGCACCATGATCATCACCATGCCGAACAAGGGATTGCACATTGGATTCAAGCCTCTTTTGTTGCGTGTAAGGTGGCATGAGGTCACCTGGTACTGAAGGGGATGATTCATTCTTCATCATGAGATGTTTCAACCAGCCTGTTTGTCCTGTATCAAACGTTGACAATGCCTTGTAATTGTTCACAAGGTGGTTTGCCAATGTTATGTTTCCCATGCATCTTGCGAGATCCAATGGGGTGTGATCAAAATTATTTCTTGAATTGAGCTCATCTTTAGATGTGTTGAGAATAACTTCAATAAGCGCCTTCATATTCCAAACACATGCAAAATGCAACACTGAATTGTCATGCCGATCAGTCCTCCTTACATCAAGGTATCTGCTGTTCAGGAGATCAACACAAGCCTTTTCTTGACCTCTTGCAGCTGTCTTCAATAGCACCTTCTCTGAAAAATCCTTTGTAAGCACTGATGTGACCATTCTGGACTGAACAAGTGTAACAATGACGGCATTATTTGCATGATCAGAAGCCAGTTCCATACTCTCTCTGATTCTAACACTATCGATTGTACCACTTGCATCAAGTGCATCTAGCACTTTTTGCACAATATCACTGCTTCCACTAAGGACAGCAAAATCTAAGACCCATTTGCCTCTGTCAAGGGCTGTAATGTTCTTTGCTTCCTGTTGTAGCTTCAAATGCTGGGCTAGGAAATAATCAACTGTTGCTGATCTTTTGTGGAAGCATGCCAAACACAATGATCTATATAATACCATTGATTTGTCAGACACCACACGTGTGTGTAGTTTTTGACAGATTTCTGTTACAATATCAAGATGTCCTTTCTTTGAGGAATCATATAGCACTTCTATCCATGTATCAACCGTTTCAAAGGCTCTGTCTTTTGCTGAGTAGTCCCTAACGACTTCATGCAGCATGGCATACAAACCCGTCTTCGTCGCAAATCCTATTGTACCAGTGCTTAGTGTTAGATCTACTTCATTTGCTAAATATCGCAGAACGCCTACCCTGTCTCTCACGTCACCATCCTTAGCATGCTTTGTAAACATGAACAAAAGGTCAGTGAACAACAAGTCACCAGATATCTTTCTTGCAAAAAGAGCTTTGAATTCTTCATACCCAGTCTGCCGCAAGACCTCTATAGGCTGAACCTTCCCAAGATATGCAAGAACTGATATAAGGGAATTTGGCACATTGGATTTGCATATCTTTAATGCTGATTTCACCAAGAGTGTAATTTCTGATAGTGTAAGTCTGGTCCCATGTGAAAGATAATTCTTGAGTTTCTGGAAGATCTTGAATGCATCCTGTTTTCCTTGAAGCTCAGACAGAAGATCTTTGCCCATCCTTTCTTTGGGAGATTTAATCTTCCTCTTCTGTACAAACAAGTCGAATTCTGTTGTCTCTAAGGTAGCAAGTGTCAGAATATCATATAAATGTTCAGGTTCATCGGTGACCTTCTTGAGCACTGTTTCAAATGATTGGTACTGATGATTTGCCACAGCAAAGACCAATGGTGATGGACATGTGGTTAGCTGTAGCATGTGTTGAGACATTGTCAGATTTAACATCTCTTGGAGAAGTTTAGTGTCACCAGTGGCTGCAGCTCCGTGTAACATGCTGGAAGAATTGGATTGACAATAGTTTGAGAGGTCTAGTAAATATTGGACCTTTTGTTTAAGTGTGTCAAATGGAACTACTTTGGGCACGTGGTGATCCAGCACGGACGTATACTTGTGAGGAGCCCTTTGGGATTTTGTGTATACTTCTTTAAATAACATAGTCCTTGGAGACACTATTTCTGCTACCCTGGTTGAATCATTTCTCAGTATTTGTGCATCACGATGCCGTGACCATTCTTCATGACTGTGTTCATGGCCATGGCTGTGTTCATGAGTGAAAACCCTCTTTGGCCACATATCAGGGACGGATCTGTTCAGGCTTAGGATGCCACCATGCATCAAAACTACTTCAGCTATATTGAAATGCCTGTTTGCGAGAGCGTACCATAAGGGTGTCACTTTTGAGTGGTCCTTCACATTAACAACACTTTGAACAGGAATGTATCCATGTGTGCCCAGCAAATTCAGTGCATATTTCACAAAATCAATATTTCCATTTTGGCACACGTTGTGGAAGGTTGTCATTCCATGGCTATTTTCCCATGTAAGTAGCTTAACAATGGAATCTGAAAGACCAGGCTGATTTGCATATCTTGAAGTAAGAAGTTTGAAGAGCATCAATGCAGTTTGTTCAGAACCTCTAACACTGGCAGTAAACAAGGCCTCCTGTGCTACATCAAAAGATCCAGTCATGAGATTTTGTCCGTGGTTTTCTAACAGATGGCTGCAGGTTTTCCAGGGACCTCTTCCTAACAGAGGTAGGATAACCAGTCTGAAAATATATTTATATGTAATAATCTAGTTACAGCAAAATTAGCTCATATTATTTGTCTTTTTTTTCTTCAGAACAATTGACATATTTGTTGTCTTTGGTTATTCCTACTCAATGAATCATTGCATTATTATGTATGTCTCAGTCAAGTGGTTTACCAGTTGTACAAACAAAATGGAGGTCATTTGTAATATGAACTTGAAATCACATTCATTATTTAGGCTTTGAATAGAATGCTTTATAGCTTATGCATTCTAATAACGATACCTACCTATCACTGAGGATGTCAGTAGAAATGTTTGTTCCATTTTCAAGGATGAATTGAACCAACTGCCAATGTGTGTCTTCTACAGCTACTCTCAACAAGTTTCCAAACACTGGATGATGATAGCTAACATCAATCTGCAAACTAGTTGATAAACATATACTGATAAAAAGGCTTGACACGATCCCATGAACATTAAGATTGGAATATAAACATAGATAAACTGTAATACACAATAATGCTATATGATTTCAATAACAATAGAATGACTTCTTTCAATGACACTGAATGGAAACAACAATAAATTTAGGGCAATGAATAAAGAGAAACCTCGTTACATTACTTACACTGAACTCAGTGTCCTCAGGTCCCTTGTTTGCCTTTCGTCTTCAGGGACTCTCAAGGATTTGGTGTACTTCCACTGCATAAAAGCTGATTTGAAGAATATAAAATAAAATATATACTGAATCAGTAATATAATTTCATGAATGTAACATATTCTTACAAATGTGAATTTTACAGATTCATTGACCACATATTTCTTTGACACCTATGTGTGCATAAATTCGCTATTGGTCATGAGGGGCTCAGGTGGTTCGTATGAACTGTAGATCCCCTTGTTCGACCCTCAGATGCTATGAACCTCTGTTCATCATGTTTGAATCATGTTGGAATCCCATATTATATTTACCATAATTGTGTTGAGTATTTATAGGTCATCATCATGTGTGTCACATTGGGCTTTACTCAGATAAAACACTATGATATGACCGAAATACTGACAAAGTGGTGTTACACCCAATTCACTCACTGGTAGGAGTTAAACAGGGAATGCAGAAATGATAACTACTCACGCAAAAATCTTGTGCCAACACACACAGCAAGCAGAGTCTGCTGTGAAACATTTGCACCATTCTTCAACAGAAACTCTACTGTTTTCTCATTGCCCATGGCTACAGCATAGTCAAGACATGTAGCTCCAAGTGCATCCTCAAAGTTGATAGACAGAGGATCAACACAATCAATAACTGCTTTCATTAGCTCCACATCATCTAGAAGGCTCACTGTGTGCAAAAGAGATGCTCCACTGTTTATGACTTTATCAAGTGTTGACAGTCCCATGGTGGATAAAGAAAATAACAGTTTTCTGTCTTGTGTCATATTCCTGAGAAGTTTAATTGTGTGCCAGCCCTTTGTGTGCATGACATACATTTGAGTAAACTCATCTCTTGGCATGACAGTCATCCATTCATTAAGATTCTGAAAGTTCCTAGCTTTGTCTAGAACTTGAGGAAGGAGCTTTGGAAAGAGGATCAAAAGTTTTGCAATTGTGAAGCTAGACCTTCTTGATAAATCCAGACCCTCAATGTGATGGGATGCAATCTGAGTAATGATATTTTCACTAAACATTCTCTCTTTGTGGTCTGATTCTTTCAACAGAGGAGACAATTTCTTCACAAGATGTTCAAAGTCAAGTGTATTTACAACATTGAGTCCTTGTTGAAAGAAAAGCTTCAATGTTGACAACGGAGCGTACCCAAACAGCTTGTTCCACGTCTGAAAGAGCACAGGATAAGACTTTGTGTCTTCTTTTTCCATATTGTAAACGTGTCTGTGACATGAATGGTGTTTGGTCAGGAGGCACTTCCACAAAGTATTCCCCCCAACTCTGAGAACTTCATCAGCTGCTGCCCAGCATCTTTTGTTGATAACTGTCATAAACATATCACATGAAATGTGAATTGTGCTTTTCTTTGAAACACGCACTTCATCCAGATAAAGACCTTTTTTCAGTAGTTCCATAACCACATATTCAATTTCTGGTTTCTTGCCTAACCTGTTTGCAAGCCATGTATGTGGTAGTGATGAGATGTCGTTGTTTCTTTCAGAGAATTTGAACAGGAAGCATTTAAGAAGGGAGTAGTTGGATGATATATCAATGTCTGGGCGAATTTCAGAAACCATGTTTCTTGTCAGAAGTTTCTTGCTTTGGAGAGATTCTGGAATTGCCTGTACTACAGAATGGATGTGTTTCAAGCTTATTTCTCTTGCACTACACAAGGCCTGTAGTATACCCATTCCCAGAGAACATACACGCCACAGTTCATCAACATTGTCTATTGTTCCAATGATGGATTCACCTTCCTCTTTCCTTTCTCTGAGTAAGTAATCAAACATTTTAACATCACCATTCAGAGCTGCTAGATGAACAGCAAAACATATTGAACTTGATGCTCCATTTCTCACCAGCACTTCCACCAATGATGTATTTTGATTTATAACACCTAGTTCTAGAGGACTGTAATATAGCACACGTTTTTCATAAGCTGTCAAAGCTATCATGCTGTATAGATCATTCTTCTTTGGTATAAGATTTGGATGTGCTCCTAAATCTATGAGATAGTTAACAACATTGATCTGTCGTTCTTCCTGAACAGAGTCTGATGGTTTCTGCAAGCAGGCTAGATGCAAGAGTGCTGTAAGAACTTCTTGAGATGCCTCCAAAAAGATCATCAGGACTTTCAAACTATCTATGTGCCAATTACAAGCTGCAAATAAAGCAGCATGTTTTGCACAGTTCTGTAGGAGTTCAGGGCGAATATTTGCAATAAGTACTAAGATATCGTTCCTGTTCATTAGAATTAGTATTTGAGGTAAGGACTGGACTTCTTCTGTGCTGGATTTAAATGTTTTGAATGGCCCATGAATTGCTTCTATCTCCTCACAATATTCCTTCTTACTATATACTGGTGGCACTTTCGTCTTTTTTGGCGAATCTATCTTGCCTGCGTGACTTTGTGAGTCCAGTGATTCCTCCAAGGCCTTGTCAGATTTGCATTTGTGTAACCATCTGGAACAATAATATGGTGGTAAAAAATATTGTATTTTCATGGTGGTTTGCATTGGAATTACTATTCATGATTTCTTCGAGTCATCCCATTAACTTATGTTCATCAGGGATAAGGAACGAACATTTCATATAGTGGTCACAAACAATGATACCCACAAGGATACTTCCTGTTGAATTTTCACATACGCAACGTATTCGCGAAACATTGCACGTAAAGGCATGCCAGTATATTTTCGTCACCAATGTATCGCCGTGAAATGTAAGGGAATAAAGTACATGTGTCACAATACATGGTGAGACATTCAGACAAGACAGAAGCAGTTAATGATAGAATCAGATCATCAACAAGCGAAGCTTATGGTCAATACACACCAGCAAGTAGGCAAACAACCTGTGCAGTCGTTTGAAAGCAGCAGGAGAAAAATCTTGTCCAGTGATTGCCATCCCTATGGCTGGAAATCAGAGAAAGTGCCTTCAGTGGTATCATAGCATCAGACCATCACTGCACCAAATCTGAGCACCACTGATATGATAAATTGTGTGAGCCTTTAGCACACACCTCGTTCATCTTAATGATTGAATGAGTATGGTTTTACGCTGATTTTAGAATTATTCCAGCAATTTCCCCACGGGGAACAACAAGAATGGGCTTCAGACATTGGCATTGAACCCATGTCCCCGGCGTGATGAGTATATGCTTTAATCACTTGCCTAACCCCATCTTAAAATTGACTTACGGGGTTCGTTATTATGAGGTTTTGAGACAGTTGTTCATTTGCAGGAATGCATTCAAACCCAAACCACAGTTGTCCAGGTTCATGGAGGTTACAGCCCTTTTAACATGTCACATCCAACACCGATGTCAAAAAAGGCATGCCCACTGAGTTTTTCATTCAATGCAACTGACACCTTAGTTTTCTAGAAGTATATTTAGGAATTGACTGTAGTTGTATAATGACTGTGAAATGGGCAACCATAAACAATGCTCAATACACTCAGTTGGAACTAAGTCATTGCTCAGTCGTTTACATCTAGTTTGACTCATCCACTGGTTGTCCCAGCAATGGGCATACAATGCAAGTTAAATCTGCAACTTGCAGTAGGGTAGTACTGAACATTCTTCCTTGTAACAGACGGGGCCAAGCCTCGCTGCCACACTGTAAGAAGACTGTGATACATCAGTTGGGGTATAATTAGAATCCCACATGGCTTATCCCATGTGTCGTTAGTGTGAGGGGCGGTGCCTTATACATACAGTATTAACATACAGCATTACAATGCAGAAAGCAAACGTTTAACTAAGGTGTATGTCAAGAGGGACAGTATTCTCTTCAACATAAACTGAAATTTTAAAGTTATGTTTCCATTAATGTTGAGGAAAATTCTGTCCTTGACATACACAAATTTCATCATAAAAGGAACCAGTCGAAGAATGTTTGTATAAATCAATTCATTGTTATTCTTATTCATTGAAAACACAATTTTTAATGAAACTCCAGTATTTATTTGCTATAACTATTGCACATGAATTTGAGGGTAGTGGGGGGAAAGTGTAATCTAGACACAATTAAATGCTTTCTCATTTACCATTCATGCCAGAGAAATAAGCCAACACATTTCTTGCCTGTTGATTGGTAATCCATTTGCTACTGACAAGCAGATGATTAAAAAACTGATATTGGTTAGGAGAATCCTTGATTATGTCGTGAACTGTATACATTATCCCAGGAAATGACAGTGACCATAATCATTGTAACAGTAAGACATGGGATGCTTAGACATATGAATCAAAAAGTCAATGTCCACATCATTCTTGAGATTTACAACCTACCCGTGTGGCTTCATTCTGTGGAGTATTTTGACAAGGAAAAGATGGACACAAAAAAAACGTGTTAATCTTCGTCTAACTTAAGAGGAAGCAATAAAGGAATTCCCCGAGCAATTTAACTGGTATCTTGATATTCTGCGCGAAAAATATGAAAGGGACAACAATACACAAAAATACACAAGATGAAATGAGGATATTCAAGATGACAGTGTTTCAGAACTTGAGGTTGTTGATGCAGATGTTGGTAGTAGTATTGACAGCACTGATAACACTGATAAGATTGAACCACATCTTAATGTTGGCCAATGTCCTCATTGCTACTCTAAAGCATCGGTTACCGAAAATAGGTGGTTGGGCAAAGGACAGTCCCCGACTAATGGCCCTTTGAGGAAATCAATGTACTAGAAGTTTTGAAAAATGCTGAATGACAGATACTTTGCAAGTAAATCATTATGAGATAAAGAAAGCTCACATTCTCTGCCAGGCAGACACAAGCGATGAAGTAGTGTGGGAGGGGGAACTGGAGACAGGCAAATAATGCCCACCTGTGTTTTTCATAATGTTCGTGGTTTATACCCAAACCCATCTGGTATGGGACACAAATGGCAGTAATAATTAGCTCATTCCAGATCGATTGCATACTCTTGTCTTTTCCCATTACTTCTTAGCTTGGAATATATGCTTGAAATGCAAAACTATTAAGTAGAGAGAAAGAGAAGAGAGAGAAACTGGACAGGGCTATCAGGACAGATTCGCACTATTTTCATCAGGGGGAAAGCCCCAATCTGTACCCTGACACATGAACTCTGACCCTGTCATTCAAATGCTCAACAATTGTTAACATTCAAAGAGAACATTTGAAATATTTATCAACGCTACAAAACTGTGTTGCTTTCAACAAAACATTCCATGCTTTTTCATACTGTCACCCATATGTGACAAACAGAATCCAGATTAGTTTGTTAAACGAGCTAGAAGCTTTCCCATGTCTCAAGTGGAGAGGTGACTGGTTTGAAATTGCCACTCCGTATTTGTGAGGTCTCGTAAAATCTCGCGCTATTTATAGTTTACTTTTGCCGGCTTAAAACAAATAACAGCTGGAAGAAAAAGGATATATGTTACTGAAACCTACCTGATGCGATCTCCAAGAACAGTCCAAATCTTCCCACACTTCTTGCATCTCATTCTTGAAGTTTTGACTTCCCGTCTGCTTAGTTTTCTACCCTTTTCTTTCAAATCAAGCGTTTGATCTCTCCACATCTCACATATTGACACAAATGAGGACAATTCCTTCACTTCAAGTGTAGCATCCTCAATGATTGGTATATCCTTCATCTGGGTTAGCATTGTCTCTGCTGTCTCAACGTCCATTAAATACAGGTAGTGAAGGATGGATCTTCTTTTCAAATCCAGAGCATGTGGATCTAGCTGTCTGAGGTAGGTGTTAACAAGAGTCTTCAGCAGTACAACTTTCTTACTGTGTGCTGCAACGAGCAATGGGGTCCTACCAGAAACATCCTTCACATTTGGCACAGTTCGTTCATTTTCAAGAAGTACCTTCACAGAGTTGACTTGTCCTGACATGCATGCATAATGAAGAGCAGTTGAACCTCTCCAATCAACATCGTTTGGATTAGCACTGCTAGCTAAAAGGAAATGTATACATTCAGTATGTCCCATCTGTGCTGCCTCATGTAGAGGGGTTCTTCCCATTATGTCTGGATGCTTCAAATTAGTACCCTGTTCTGCTAGCCATTTTAAAGCTCCAATGTCTCCAACACGAGTAGCCTGAGATACAAACCTGACAAGTACCTTTGCCTCTATTTTCAAACATGGCATAAGCGCTACTGAACGTTCAGGGTGAACAGAGAAGTTTTGTTCAATTTCACATATGATCATTTGCTTGGTCCTGGCATCAAGAAAGAAGAGGTCCCTGGCTTGAACAATTGTCTGAAGAACAGATGTTCGTTTCCACTGGACTGCTAGTCGGATTCCTTTTACAAAATCGTCATCAGACATTTCATCATAATATAACAGAGAAAGTACAGATGCATTACCATGCTGGCAGGCATAGTGAAATGGGAGATGTCCATCTTTGTCTTTTTCTTTTGGATCATGTCCCTGTGTTGTGTTCTCGTTCACGACGTCTTGGTCGTACTGGTTTCTGACATCAGACTCTATGGTGTTATCCCCATCTCCCTTGCGAAGCAACAACTCAACCAGGTCCTTCTCTCCAACTTCAGCAGCCAGATGTAAGGGTGGAAGGTAAAACACTGAGTCGAAAACCTTCACAAGCTTGCAGAGATCACGTGCAAATTCCAGTTTCCTGTACTGAAGGGAATAACAAGTCAGATGAAGGATCAACTTGTCATCCAAGAGACTTAGATCTGTCCTCCTAATGACTTCATCTAGTGACTTATTTCCGAGAGTGAAAAGTATCCAGTAACAGCTGAGTCCTTGAATATCCTGACACTGTAAATCAGGTCCAAGTTGGAGAAGGTAGCAAACCACATCAAATTTGGCATAAAGACGCCCATCTTCATTACTTTGTCTCTTCTCAAACCCCGATTCTTCAAACTTTCCAAACGTCAATGCACAATGAAGGGGTGTTCTCTTGTTGATGTCTTTCATGTACAGTATTTCCCTTCCGAAACGACCAATCAGAAGCTCACACGCGGCCACGTGACCATTCTGTGCTGCATAGTGTAGAGGAGTCGCAGCTCTACTGTCTCTGAAATGTTGTAGTTCAGTTTCTGGTGGGATCGTCTCCAGAAGCTCTGCAAGCTCTCTTTCCTTGCCCAGCGCAGCATACTCGTTCAGTGCATAGACTGACACATCTACAACAAAACAAAACACTGACGTCAAAGAACAGTTTATGAAATGTATTTTTTATATTATATGAATACTTTAATAATAGGTAACTAGGTGCTACGTGACTTTTTAAAATATTTGTTCAAGGTTCATGGGTTTTAACTTCTTTCAACTCCTCATCCAACAAAATGTCTTGTGATAAACAAATTCATAATCGGTGAAACAGTCTGCATAAGGTCAACAAATCCCCACATACCTCCCTCAGGCTGTCATTGCTAACGATTCAGTCAAAACATGATAATTTTCACATCCCAAAATGTAATCAATGGTTCACATACTGTCGGTCATATTGACTTACGGCACAACTATGCTTACCATCACTTTCTGCCCTGGCTGATGTGATGCTCCAAGGTACATAATCGAAGCCGAAGATGGTGGGAGCGCTGAGAGCGTCCTGGAGGGTGTCAGGGATCCAGTGACTTAGTCCGCTGTCCTCGTACAGGAACACCATCCCACAGCACATGGATGTATAGCGACGTCCGTCCTTCTCGAACGTCAACTGTAATGTATCACAAGCTATGCAGTCAGCAATATTACAACTAAATCTCAAGTAAATAATCGATTATTGATCGGAATAACCAGTGGTTGATAATATGAGCAAAGGTTCGTACCTTCAAAGTGCAGTGATACACAATCATACAAAACACTACAACCACTCAATCCTCTCCTAATACTGTAGGTTCCTGGCACGTATTCCGTCACAAAATCTCAATGATGGGATAGTATCTGTAATATTGACAGTTTTGGAAAACTAATTGTTGCTGCAATTCAATTATGAATATGAGACATTTATGTCATATTGTCGAAATGTGAAAAATATACCGATAAGGCACATTTACCATATTTTATCATATTATTACACGATATTCAGAAGAAAGATATGTGAATCTAACCATCACTCAAAATGTTAAACATGTAACAGAGAGATGGTTCATTGCTACATTTCTTGATAAGTGTCACCTTTTTATACTGTACGTTCTGATATCGAAAGGCAGGGTTTTGAACTTTAGAAGGTGGCCTTGGTAGGATGTCAAACAAACGTAGAATTCTCTCCCTGGATCGCACCACCTCTTTGTTCTTCCGCAGGAAAATAAATCCCTTTTCGTAGCATGGTGCAAAGGTCCTGTATATGAGCTTGCGGATCTCGAGCAAACTGGACTTGGAACTGAGATAAAGGGAACAGCTTCGCAGGCATGGATGTTCTCTACTGACCGCCTGGAATTTGACCAGGATGTCAGGGGCCTTCTCCCTCGGTACACTTGGGGCAGAGGAAAACACATATTGGTCCCCGCTTCTCTCTGTAGCCCTGGAAACAGAAGGGAATATGTAACTGCACATTTCTACCATTTTAAAGATCACCCGACCGTTGTTGTCCCCTTGCTGAAGTTGCGTCTTTATTGACACACTTCGTAACTGTTACTGTGTTCGTTTCATAGCATCTGAATCAATTATTCTAGTATAAAGAAAGGCTGCACACATTGTACCCATCTGAGGAATCGAACTGGGATTTTCGACACAATGAGCAAACCTCGAGGTTACCCTGCCACATTTGCTTCTTTGAAATAACTGTTGGAACTAATGCATGTTTGTGTTTAAGACATGTAACATGGCAACAGTTACGTTAAGTCTCATTGATATTCAATAAGGGACTCAGACGTCCCTACTGCCACAGCTCTATATAAGCAGCTACAGTTGCTCACAAAACCTAATCCGCTTATCTATAGTGCCCTACAACCAATATGGTCAATAGAGTATTATAGGTGTTTAAATGGCAACATGTAGGTACCTCCTTGAATGCTATAATGGGCTTAGTTATAAATATATATTCAATAACTATTTACTCACGGCCACAAGGTTACATTCAAACCAAGGAATATTTTCACATAGTGAGCATTTCACACTGATTTTTCAGCACGTCAGCTGAAACTGATATCACTTCATGGTATTGGCAGATTATTGTTTACCACAAGATGTTTATTATCAATCCTTTAATTGATACAGCTGATTTGGGGGAATTTGTTTAATAAGGCCACGAAAACTTACTTGATTTGTATATACAGTGAATCATTTGAGGAGAGGAAAGACGACTAGACGTGAATGAATATGTTTATATCCCTATGTAGATTCAGCCAATATATTAAAACCGATACCATATATTATTGAATCGTACTTATGTTATACAATATAGTATTACATTACAACAAATACTATCAAAGCATATGTTATAATTCTATCACATTATACGACTATTGGAAGTAATATTATAACATACTATTTTGGTATAATATATTATGCCACTATCAAAGGTGAGGTGAAATGGGGTTTAACGTCGCGTCAAAGATTATTGCACTATAATTCTATCACATTATACGACTATTGGAAGTAATATTATAACATACTATTTTGGTATAATATATTATGCCACTATCAAAGGTGAGGTGAAATGGGGTTTAACGTCGCGTCAAAGATTATTGCACTTACATAGCGACGTGCATGCACGTGTGTGTGTCGCAGTTTAAAACGATTACACCCCCCCCCCCCCCCCCCCCCCCCCCTCAGACACAGTGTACTGACTCCGAGCCGACCAGTCCTTGTTTTACCCTCTTAATGCCGAGCGCCAGACAGGGTTACAACAAGTAGAATCTTTTAACGTCTTTTGGTATGACGCGGCCGGGGATCGAACAATGGCTTTCCCTCTTCGGGCGAACGTTGTACCACTAGACCACGGAGGCTGTCTCCACTTTTAAAGACGATACCACACACTATACGTCTGTAACATTATATACTGTTTATACATTTGGTATATAACTATTAATACTCTTTTTGCACTTTTAAAGCATATAGTTTTGACTATCAGAAATGTTATTATACACTATTAATGCATCTCTATTATGCGAGATATCATTTTCCTCTTGAAACTGATATGGCACATTATATCGGTGTGTTTTTGACACTATTAGAACTGATTTTATACAGTATTAAAGCATCTGCTGTGGGACTTTCAAAACTACTCATGAAATACAAAAAACGCTTTTATATATTATTATCAGGTTATCGATTCCGATTCTAGTTCTTATGACCTTTGAACAATTCTTCAATGAGCATGTTTCATCGCAAATATTTGCTTTGTAACTCATCATGTAAAATCCATATAACCACTGACAAGCGATTAAAACTGCCCCCTTCTTTCCTACGCACATGAGAAACACAGACGTGACATGCAGAGCGGAAAGTGACACCGGCGGAAACGAGAAACAAAGTGTCGGTTATCGACCTTATCTGTGTCAGTAGAGCCGCCATTCCGGAATAGTCACAAATCTATAAACACGCTGTTCATTACTTAAATGTCAGATAGTTCACGCATCCACAAGAATTATGTAACCGACTTTGGATATATTCATAAATACGGAAGGAAACAATCACTAGGACATTTGTGAAGTTTACAAACTCGTTTTTAACAGAGCGACGTCGTAAATATAAGACACGAATGTGTGCTTTGGTGTTTAGCCTGAATCCATATAGAAGCTATGCAGCTGCTATCGTCAGCAAATAGCAACCACTGAAATATATTTATTAGGGAATCCGATTTTCAACAATCGCCTGAAGCCACTGAAAACGTCTTTGTGACAGACGACGCCCCCCACACATTGTGTTGTAATCTCCAAGGTCTTGTGTACAAGCGTCAACGCCCTAGCAGTACAGCAGATAGATTTAAAACATATTCAGAGGACCATGACGTACACTCAACAAATATTAACAAAGAGGTTACATGTTTGTTTAGAGTCAGTGAAATGTGTCTGTGATGAGACAGCGTTTTATCCATCCCGAGATGAGACTGGTGAGATGAGAGCTGAAAATAGCACTGACTCATCAACATACGTTCTTGTTTACATGTCCCTGCTCATGTTGACGTGTGTGTGACGTCACAGGGCGGATCGCCATGGATCGGAAAATAGAATAAGACTTGAACATGTTATTTATATGTTCTTTGAATGTGTTGTCAAAGCCAAGAGGCATTTGAATAAAAAAGTTTTAGAATACATAAAACATACTTCATAGGGATAACATGAAATTCAGTATACTCCTGGTGGGTGTACCGTATACCTATTGATACAAGCACTCAGTCATGCATTATCTGTGAAAAAATGGGGTGAGGGAGGGAGGGAGGGACGGAGGGACGGAGTGACAGAGCGAGCGAGCGAGCGAGCGCTCGCGAGTGGGTGTGTTTTTTCCCCCGATTGACTACACAGCTCAGGTATTCAAAAGAGATATTTAATCTATACATTGTTTAAGATATACAAATAAACACTCACATTAATCTTACATGTTTTTCGATAGCACTTGAAATCGTTTTCCGTGAAAAATTTAATGTCGTGAACAAACACCTAACAATCGACATGAAAAAAAAGCTGTGCTTATTATATGGCCTGTGATTCAACCTTTTACAATGTGATTCCTCCTCTTTGAAGGTGCACATCGCTGAGATTTGTTTGCTTTGTTCTACAGGGACGAAATGACTTCAGCCCAAGGCTAGCATCAACACATGTCACTCACCGATACATTACCATGCATTTCCCCGGCTAGGACAACATTTACTCCTCATTTCGCCAGCTAGAACAACATTTACTCCGCATTTCCCAAGCTTGGACAACATTTACTCCGCATTTCCCCGGCTAGGACAACATTTACTCCACATTTCCCCAGCTAGAACAACATTTACTCCGCATTTCCCAAGCTAGGACAACATTTACTCCACATTTCCCTGCTAGGACAACTGGTACTCCACATTTCCCCAGCTAGAACAACATTAACTCCGCATTTCCCTAGCTAGGGCAACATTTATTCCACATTTCCCAAGCTAGGACAACATTTACTCCGCATTTCCCCAGCTAGGATCACATTTACTCCTCATTTCCCCAGCTAGGACAACATTTACTCCGCATTTCCCCAGCTAGAACAACATTTACTCCGCATTTCCCCGGCTAGGACAACATTTACTCCGCATTTCCCCGGCTAGGACAACATTTACTCCGCATTTCCCCAGCTAGGACAACATTTACTCCACATTTCCCCAGCTAGGACAACATTTACTCCGCATTTCCCAAGCTAGGACAACATTTACTCCGCATTTCCCCAGCTAGGACAACATTTACTCCGCATTTCCCCAGCTAGGACAACATTTACTCCGCATTTCTCCAGCTAGGACAACATTAACTCCGCATTTTCCCAGCTAGAACAACATTTACTCCGCATTTCCCCAGCTAGGACAACATTTACTCCGCATTTCCCCGGCTAGGACAACATTAACTCCACATTTTCCCAGCTAGAACAACATTTACTCCGCATTTCCCCAGCTAGGATCACATTTACTCCGCATTTCCCCGGCTAGAACAACATTTACTCCGCATTTCCCCAGCTAGGACAACATTTACTCCACATTTCCCCAGCTAGGACACCATTTACTCCACATTTCCCCAGCTAGAACAACATTTACTCCGTAAATATGCACGTTTGTTTGCCGTGAAAGTGGTGTGAGATTCCATCAAACAGACACGCGCGTGCTATAATCGGATTATTCAGACACCGTTACCACGATTGGAATAACTGACATTCTACATAGCCGGCATACATATAGAATACTAAACGAGCGCCCGTGTAATACCAATTTTATGAAACTCGTGAATAGTTGTGGTCTCTGACGAGCTTTCGCTCGTCAGAGACCACAACTATTCACGAGTTTCATAAAATTGGTTTTACACGGGAGCGAGTTTAGTATTTCATTTATTACTTGCAATTTATAACGTTTTTTTAATTATACTGTTGAGTATGCATAGGCTAGCACCTACATGATCCACAACATAGTCCAATTGAGTTTAACAGAATAATACTTCAAGCACGTCAAAAGTTGAAACGTATGAATTTCATACCATACAACGGGTCTACCTTTAGAATTCACAAAATTATCGAAAGGCTAAGACTTTCGCATCTCACATACTTTAACTTAGACCAACGACTGTCGTTGCGCTACAATACGATCGCCTTGTGGAACGGGCCTTGCACCTCAAAGTTTTCAATAACGTCACAATACCCGATGACGTAATTTGTGGAATTTTGATGCAAGATCCATCGGCGAAACAATGCCATGTGACGTCAGCCTAGCAACAAGGTTGCTTGGGTCATCGAGTGTGCATAAGCTCCTCTCAGTGATCTATCAACTCCACACGCAATGTCGTTGAATAAGCCAAGGGATGTTGAGAGCTTTCAATATTTGTTCGTGAAACGTGTTCCGAGAGTACATAAGCACGC